GGAAGGAGAGATGGGAGAAAGTCAAAGAGAATGCAGGGTGGGGATAATAGAACAAGGAGAGGCATGGTGATGGGGACCCGTGCTTTGTTATGCGAAAGTTAAACAATAGATATACATAAGAGTATATAATTGTTTTATATTTTAACTTTTTAATAGACAATGCAATCAATCTCAACCTGAGTTAATCAGTTTTCTAGTATTTCAGATTGGCTTTGGTTTAATAAATATATATTAATATTTTATATTTTAATTTTAATTTTGTAATACGAGAAAATAGAAAAATTCTCATATTTTTTAGTTCAAAATATTTTATATCATAGATTTAATTTTTGTAATTTATTTTTAATAATATCATTGTAATTTATGAAATTTAAAATTAAATTTTAAGTTTAAATATTTTGAACAAACAAACTAAACCGAAATAGACCAATATTGATATAACCCAAGTTGGTGGGTATTCTCTAATGGTCAATCGGTTTTGAGTGGCAAACTACAGACTTAACCAGATTGATTTGGTTGGCGAAACATCTTGCAATTGAACTAAACCAATCATTGAACACTCCTAATTTCAACTAAATTTATAGTCTAATCTCAAATAAATAACAATAGTTTAATCTCCAATTATTATTGAAAATTTATATCAAATGTAGACAATCATTGAAAATAAATTTATAATGAAAATATAATAGATATATAGTAAAAGTAAAATAATTACAAAAATATAATAAATTAATCAATAAATAGTGTAATCTTAAAAAATATTTTAATATCTAATAAGTATTAATCTATAAATTAAAAAATATATATATAATTACTAAAAATAAACTTATAACAAAAATACAATAAATACGAAAAATTAAATTTCAAAAGTTAAATTATAGATGCTTAATATCCAATAATTATTGATAATCTTCTATTAAATAACAAAAATAAAAATACATTTGTAAATAATTATTGAAAGCATATTTATAATGAATATACACTATTATTATAAAATTTTTACTAATAAATATAACTTTGTTGATAGTTATTTTGTATAATTATTAATTGATATAAGTGAGATTAGTTATTTACAATATTACTTAGTCTTTGAAATAATATTGTTATTTCAATTTTTTAAATATATTTCAATTTTTTAAATATTAATTATTTATTGAATTTAATAATCCATAAACTTATAATTGTACTATTATTGCATAATTCATTATTAATTTTGTAAAATATTAAATTATTATTAATATGAACATTACGAATTCTATTATAATTATTTTTCTACTTTAAGATTTTTTAAAATTTATTACATAATTTTTTTATTTTAACTATTTAAAATTTTGTCATGTTTAATATTTTGCTATTTAAATATTTACATAAATTGTAAAATATTTTAAAATTTCATTATTTGAATTTATTTATTTTAATGTTATTATGTAATATTAAATATTTTGTTATATTACTTAGCTATTTTTAATGTTTTTATATTGAAATATTTAAATAATGTTTTATTTTTTAATGTTAAATTTTTATTATTTGAATGACATTTAAATTGAATAATTCATTAAATTATAATTTATATTATTACTACATATTTTCATGGTGAATTTTGTAAAAGTATTGAATTATTAATAATATGAACATTATTAAATATTTTAACATTTTTCATGCATTGGTGAACCGTTACCCCCAATGGTGATTGATGTACATCCTACATGGTGCTTACCTGTCAGCACATACATGTAAAACGTTACATACCAAACAACATAGTGTTGTTCACTGCCCACGTGGCAGAAGCATTTTTTGTGTAAAACGGGTCTTGGAAGAATGGGTGTTTTTTCTTGAAAATCGGTTTCAAAAGCGCCCACGCTTCCAAACATGATGTTATTATATAATTTCGTTATAACATTTAAATAGTTCTGAATTTTTTTAATTGAAACTTTCTTTAGATAGAGATAGATAAAAAGTGGAGGGGAGGATAAATAGGAATTAGAGATACTTTAGGAGAGAATCTATTTATTAAATTAGAGATAAATAAGAATTAGAGATAATTTAGGAGATAAATAGGAATTACAGACGATTTAAGAGGAAGTGGGGGAAAGTTGTGCCAATTGACTAAATATTAGAAAAACAAATCTCTCTTTCTTTATAATTGTTAAAAATAATTAAACATATGCGATTTATTTATTGATTTAATTGGTAATTATGTGAAATTAAAAAAATTAGAAAAGAGAATTTGAAGCAAGGAAAAATATGATAACGTGGACAAACCAATTAATGTATATATAGATAAGGATCCAAATTATAATAAAATTGATCTCTTCGACGAAAATTAGTAGATGGGGGAGAAAAAGACAAGTAGAAGAGAGACCGACAAACTTGGAATTGTATATTTTATTACCTCAACTTATCCTTATGAGCAACCGACAAACTTGGAATTGTTAAAGAAGAAAAGAAAGTGAAAAGACAAAAAACAATTAATGAAAGTTAGAATTAAAAGAAAGAAAAAAACAAAAAAAAAAAAATTCATGGAAAATTCTAAGTTCAAAATGATTGGAGGTTTGTCAGATATTCAACCCGACCTATCTAATCAATTGGGCTTCATTATTGACAAGCAACCAGCCAACTAACGACTGTATCATCTGCTTTAGTTGTTACTCGTCGTTTGTGATCATTGTATATGCATCTTTATCAGCTATTACACATCTTCTGTCATTTCTCTACATTGCTACCTAGTCAAGATGGGTTCCATGAAAGCTTTGCGAAGATGGAAGGAAAATTCTAAGTTCAAAATAATTGGAGGTTTGCCAAATTTGAATATTCAACCCGACCCAATCAATTGGGCTTCATTATTGACAAGCAACCAGATTCGAATATATGGATGCTTTTAATATTCATGTTTTAAATTTATAGGTACCTTGAACTTTTAGAAATATTCACTTCAATCCAATTCTACTAAAACTGACATTACAATAACAGTATAATTACAAAAAATGTCAATGTTTAAGTTGGTTTTCAAATTTTCACCTTCAATCTACCTAATTTAAATCATATATGCTGAATTTGAAACACAACTTAAATCTTTTTACTATTTTATTGTCCTTTTGTTTTAATCCTTTTTTCCATCTTAAATAATCTCTGCTTTTTTTCACCAAACCCAAAAAGCATTTCAATGGAAGGCTAAAAGCAGTGAAAAAAAAAAAAGAAAATTTGAATATGGATATTTTTGTAATTTTACTCTTACTGCAACGTTAGTTTTAAGGGAGCAGGACTCAAAAGCATATTTCTAAAAGCTTTAGGATACAAAAATGTCCCACTTGAGAGTTCAGGCCTTTTAAGTGTCACTACCCCCCCCCCCCCCCACACACACCAAAGTATATATAAGTAATTTATCTTTGAATATTTTCCTGAAAATGATAATTGGAGATATTTGTTCAAATGCCATTAAAAATTAACTTGAATACAATATTAAAGAAATTGCACGGTGACAACATAAATAGTACTAGTTAACTAAGAAAGTCATCTTCTCTTCTGCTTTTCTCCTTTAGATCTTCTCCTTGTTGCATTTTCTTCTGTTTAAATTCTATTTCTCCTACCTTCCTTTTTTATTACTTAATTATTATCTAATTAGCTTCCAATAGGAAAGAAAATAAGAGAGATTTTTGTATTATACATTCTCTTTCATTTATCTGGCTGAACTAATCATCAATGTGATATATATGTCATTTATATTTTAGTAAGTTATATGGACCCAACATCTATATTTTGAACATACATATATTTTAGTAAGTTGTTCCGGAAAGGTAGATTGAAACTCTCTACGCCACCCAATATGATTAGGGATCTGCTTCTCGCAGAACGAGAGCGGCACCTCACATGGATCTCACAGCCCCAATCCCACCGTGTATTGAGAACATCTCCCCATGAACACTAAGTGCAGAAGATTCCCAATACAGGGTGGGATGGGGTTGTTTGGTCCATGTAAGGTGCATCTTTACAAGGTGACACGAGTGAAAATCAGTAAGAAACAATAGAAAATAAAATTAGAAACTGTAAGGTGGTGTTATTTTTTTTAAAATATTATTTTCTTTTTTGTTTCTTTTTTTTTTTTTTGTGTGCACTATTAAGGAATGGTCTACCCTGTAAATGGTGTCATGTCTGCTTTCCTTTGGTAGGTCCAGAAAATCCTCTAAACCCGGGTCCATAGGATGCAAGTTCATCCATTTGGTATTGTAATGATGCAGAAAATTAACCAGATTATAATTTTATGCATGTTATAATAACATTATTAGATCCATCATTCACCGGAGCAAATATTAGACGAACGTGATGGCTCAGCAGGTTGTGGAACCAATGGTGATGTTCCACGTCAGTAATCAATAAAATACTGAGAACCCATACCTTTTACGATGGGGTTTATAAATTTATTACTTGTGTGAAACATTATCATTGATTCTACAATCCGTTAAACAACCATTGCTCTGTTAATCTGAATTTCATTCATTGCCTCCAAATATTACTTTTTATTATCCGAGTTTTCAAGCAAATGAATGACAAACATTTTAGGGTATTGACATATTATTTGAGAACCTTTCTATTAGATCATCATTCTCCATTTTATTTATAGGAAGCTATTGATCATAAAATTACTATGTGATATATCAGAATAAAGTAGGAATTTTAAATAAAATTATATATATATATATATATATGTATGTGTATATATTTTCTTATACTACATTATATAGTATGGCCCCAGGATTTAAGGAAGTGTTCTTCCTTGTCACTATCCTACCTGCTCCAATTATTTTCTTAGAAAAAAAAAGGGAAAAAACATGAACCCTACAGTTGAGTGGTTGAAACGTTTTATCAAACGTTTGGGCGTACAGTAGCAGGTAGGTTTGATGACTTGGTCCAAGACGTGGTAGAGTACTTTAAACGGTTTATTCAGAGGCTAGCACAGAGAAAACGATCCCGAATGGGAAGATTAAGTCAACGACACAATGGAGTATAAAAGAAGGGACCAAGCTCTTTGGATTCTTCGTCCGGTGACAGCCTACAGTTTGAGCTTCACTTCTTCACATTCATCTCTCCTTTCCTTATTGAATCTCCCATTTCGATCTATCAGGAGTTGGAACAAATATCATGGCTATTGAGGCGGGTGCAATGGTATCGGATTTACTTAAGGGGTTGATCAATAATTTAGCCAGCCCAATTTTCACAGAGTTTACATCCTTATGGAACATGAAGAAAGATCTCAGTAAGCTGAAAGAAGCGTTGGAAATGATTCAGGCTTTCCTCGTCGATGCTGAGCAGAAACAGACAAAAAGTAAGGCAGTGGAGACTTGGTTAAATAAACTCAACGATCTGGTTAATGAAGCAGAAGACATATTGGACGAGTATGCTGCGCATGTTGGACGAATGGAATCAAGTGAAGCGAACAAACAGGTGTGCTGCTTCTGCTGCTTCTACTTCCTTTTTAATTATTGTAATCCAAAGGTTGTTTGGTTTAACTATGGGATAGCATCCCGGGTTAAGCAAATCAACCAAAGCCTGAATGGGCTTAATGATGAAGCAAATAAATTGGGTTTGCAACACATCAATGTTGGAGAGAGGTCAAACACAGGAGGAGCTCAAAGTAGTCGGCAAACGACTTCCCTTTTTGATAAGGAATCTTGTTTTTATGGTCGAGACGCTGATAAAAACAAGATAATTTCCATATTGTTGTCTTCGGAAGGTCCGAGTGGTGAAAGAAATAATTATAGAGTGCTTCCCATAGTTGGTATGGGTGGTCTGGGCAAAACTACACTCGCTCAGTCTGTATACAATGACGAGAGAGTGCAGAGTTATTTCAACCTCAAAGCATGGGTTTGTGTGTCAGAAGAAGCTGACTATACTAAGTTAACAAGAGCTATCATCGAGTCTGCCACTAGAAAAGCTTGTATGCTCAACGGTCTAGAGCCACTCCAAGTGGAACTTGGGGACAAGTTACGTGCGAAGAAGTTTTTAATCGTTCTAGATGATGTCTGGAACGAGAACGAGGAACACTGGGAACAATTACGGAAACCATTCCAGTGCGGAGAAAATGGGAGTAGAGTAATAGTGACCACCCGAAGTAAAAAGGTTTCATCTATCATGGGTACCTTTCCTCCTCACCCTCTAGGTCTCTTAGAATATGAAGATTGTTGGTCAATATTAAGGCAACAAGCGTCTCTTGATGATGCTGTTTTGAAAGAAAATCCAAATTTGGAAGCAATCGGTAGGAAAATTGTGGAAAAATGCAAGGGTGTGCCTCTTGCAATAAAGACGGTTGGAGGTCTCTTACGTTCTAGAATTGAAGAGAAATATTGGAAATCTGTGCTAGAAAGTGAAATGTGGGAATTAGAAAACGAAGATGATGACCAGCAGAAGAAGGGTATAATGCCAGCGCTGAGATTGAGTTATCATCATCTCCCAGCGCATTTGAAGCGCTGCTTTGCTTTTTGTTCCATATTTCCTAAAGACTACAAGTTTGAGAAGAAAGACTTGGTTTCATTATGGATGGCGGAAGGATTTATTATAGGTTCCACTGAAGGGAGGAGACAAATGGAAGACGTAGGCGGTGAATATTTTGATGAGCTATGTTTTAGGTCATTTTTCCAATATAATGATCGCTTTATCAGAAATGTGTGTTTGATGCATGACCTGATCCATGATTTGGCACAATCTATTTCCAAGGATAAATGTTTTATAGTAAAACGATGTCTTAATACTCCCATCAAGGGATTCAAGGCTTGCCATTTGTCAATATATCCTACAACGTCAAGGTCAAGAGATGATGACGAGGATGGTAATGACGATGATAAGCTACTACAACAACAACAACAATGTGTTGATGCCTTGGGCCAGTTAGTTAAGAGTAAGAATATCTCACCGCGCACATTTCTGCTACGTGGTTCTTCTTATTTGTTTTCACGAGAAAGATTCTTAATGCCAGGCCTTGTAGCAAAGCTTGGTGATATATTTTATACATGGAGGTGTTTACGTGTATTGAGCTTGCGCTATCTTGACCTGGAAGATGTTGGGTTGTCAGATTCCATCGGCAACTTAAAATTGTTAAGATTCCTTGACCTCTCCTATACTAACATTAGAAGACTACCGAAATCAGTTTGCAGACTCTACCATTTACAAACATTGCTACTTGAGGGCTTGGAATATATTGAGGAATTATCTGACAACTTACGTAGCAGCCTTGTTAACATTCGACTTATCAAGATGGACAACTATAAGTGTAGAATATTAATCCCACGGCCACGGGGAGAGAAAAGCGGTAAGGATGGAGTTGGAGATGACTTGAAGTTTTATGCTAAGTGCATCGAGGCAAGTAATCTTATGATTTCAGGGTTAGAAAATCTTGCAGCCACCAACGACATTGCAGATGTCATTTTCATGAAGAACAGCAACCAACGTCTTACATTAGAATGGGATTATAATGTCTTCTTTGGACATGGAGAAGGAGCAGCAGCTGTGGCCCAACAAGTGATCGACTCTCTTCTTCCACCACAGAAAGCTGATAGGAAGCTAAATGAACTCAAAATCAAGGGGTATATTGGTGAAAGATTACCTCATTGTATAGCAGAGATGTCCATACTACATAGACTGGAATTGCACAATTGTAGATGTGAGGTTATCCCTCCTATTGGAAAGCTACGATCTCTCTGCTACCTGGTAATAAAAGAAATGGATAATTGGAAAGCTGCGGAATGGTCATCATCCTCAAGTGGAGAAAACATAGACCAAGTGGAAATGGAAGGTGATCCTGGCCTACAACAAGCATCCTCCTCCTCTTCTTTTTATGCTCAACAATATCAACCACTTTTCCCTAGGTTAACTGGCCTTGAGATATATGACTGCCCCAAGCTAAGAGCATTGGAGGTCTCCCACCCCATTCCTTCCTTGACAACATTGCGCATAGAAAATTGTGAACGATTGGAATCCCTACCAGAGGAGATGAACAACTTATTCACAAATCTTAGACAGATTAAAATCGTTCGATGTCCTCGCCTAATCGCATTTTCTCAAAGAGGATTGCCAACTGAGCTAAAGGTACTTGAGATAGAAGAGTGTGAGGAACTCAGATCCCTTCCTCCAGGTATGCACAACATCACATCTCTTATACAGTTAAGCATAGTAGGATGCCCTCGCTTAACGGTCTTTCCCGACGGAGGATTGCCAACCAACAGTCTGTGGACTTTTCAGGTAGGAGAATGTAAGGAACTCAGGTCCCTACCTGAAGGGATGCACAACATTTCTCTTCTAGATTTAGCCATTGTAAGATGCCCTCGTCTAATGGCCTTTCCAGCTGGGGGGTTGCCAACCCAACTAGTTCATCTCCACATCAGCGGATGCGGTGAGGACGACAGGGAACTACTCCCACCCGAGGGTGTTGGCTTGCACCAGCTTACATGTCTAGAATCGTTGATCATCAGGGATTGTACAGGTCTCGTGTCCTTTCCAGAAGACGAGGATTGGCAACTGCCTACATCTCTTATATCCCTGGGGATTTATAACGCTCCGAGGCTAGCATCCTTGCCGGAAGCCGGACTCCCCCCTCAACTTAAGGGTCTTGAAATCAGTGGTTGTCCTCTTTTAAGCAAATCTTGCAGAAAGAATAAAGGGAGAGATTGGCCCAAGATAGCGCACATTCCCTTTATACAAATTGATTGCCAATGGATCCAATTTACAAAGGAGTTATTGGAACATGATGGGTATTGATTGCCAATGGATCCAATTTACAAAGGAGTTATTGGAACATGATGGGTAACTTATGGTGGTGAAGTTGACTACAAAAATATGGATGATATAACAGCGTTGCCTGCTCCCCAGTGGCCGTTAATATTTTGTGTTCTGCTGAGTCCCCTCTTTCACAAGTACACAGCTTTCATGGTGATGCCTCACTTCTACAATGACCGCAAACAGGGGATTCTTGTTGATTTATGTCAAAGCAGTAATCAGGTTTCTCATCTTCTTATTTTCTCTTGCTTATTTGCTTTCATTTTTTCACTCTCTTTTCCTCATCTCTTAACTTTTTGTGAAAGAAATTTTTGGTAGTAGTTAAATGGATTGTTATTTGCACTGTACATTATTTCTGCATTTTTACAACGCTGTATATTATTTTACTTTTTTTCATATACTTATTATATTTAATCAGAGGCCATTCATTTCAAAGCTACAAATTTGTTTTTTGAACTTTTTTTTTCTCGGCAAAAAACTCTATTTATTCTTCCATTTCCTTATTATCTGCCCCCAAAAGAAACAATTTCTTTTCTATGACATGAGGTAACTTTTCTTTCTATTTTCTCTGCATTGAAGAAAAAGCTGCATTCAAGGAATCTTTTTTCTCTACTAATTAAACTACTTTCTTCCTAAAATCAATGTTTTCTTTTGTTAGGTATGGCATGTGGGGTAAAGAGAAATATTTAAGGCTGTATTTGGTTTGAAGGAAAAAGAAGGGAAAGGTAGGGAAACCCTTACAAACCTTGTATAAATTCCCCTACCTTTCCCTTCCTTTCTCTAACCTTTCCTTCAAACCAAACGTAGCAAAAGTTGTATTTTCTATAGATCTCTTAACCTAGATCCCACCTCATATTGACCATTTTTCCATATATATGACTTCATTGGAAAAGGAAGGCAAATTTTACATTTGGAGATGAACTGATGAAGTACTGAACCTTCCAGCTTTAATTGTTAAGCCATGGTCGAGTTTCATCAATTTGAAGGCATTGGCACCAAGATTTCACTTTCAAGGTGGGCCTTGGTTCAAAGGTTGGGTTGCTCCATTCTGACCTGGGTGACAAGGGAAACAGCAATACCCATATCTCACCCAAGGAATTTGGATCACCTGCCAACAAAACACGTTCCAACACAATATCAACACAATCTGACACTGCACATTTCATACATGGTGGTTTCCAGTCTCATGGTGAGATGGGCGGTATCAGATCATGTTGATAGGTGGTTGGAACGTGTTTTATTGGCAGGAGATCCCAAATCGCGTGACCCTGCATTGGGGGAGCCTTGTGCCCTGGCTGCCCTACATCGAGATTTCACTTTGCCGGGATTTTAATATGTTGCTCACATGTATCTATGAGATAGCATTCAGGTTTCTTTCCTCAATGATAAACTATCCAAATTTATTTCTTAATATTGATTTTCTTTCATATCATATAATTCAATATCCTGGCATTTGTAATATTTGATAAAATGTAAGATTTTTGTTTGCTTAGTGATGTAAGTTTCGTTTGATGTTAATTTGATTTTAATGGTGGTAAGGGATTCACATTATTTTTTATTTAAAGATGCCTTATGGGTACAATTTAAAAATCTCAAAATACAACTATCTAATACTAGTTGATTTGACTGCATAGTTTTTAACCAAAACCTTGTAACAGATTGTTGATCCTCTGTATCTTGTCTTCATACTCGTGATTACTCAAACCTTGTAGACCTGGTAGATGCTTGAGACTAATTAAGATTGCTTTGGAAACTAAGATGACTTGAAATTACACTTTTTTAACCAAGCGATGGTTTGAGATTGGTGAGATTAGTAGGGAAGAGCTTTGTGCCCAATATGGTAGCTATACAATTCAATTCCTTTCTTATACATGTGACTATGACTGTGTTTCGCCTGCTTTCAGAGAATTAGTTCAACATCATTTCCACCATTATTGTCTACTACTGTTGTATCCTTTCAGAAAAGTAATTCTGATGAATTTTGTAATTTTAGAATCGTTGTTTGAAGGGTGATTTCTGAGGATATATATGTGAACATAAAGCAGGATACACAATCATGCATTTTCTTAATCAATTCTAGTGAGGGAGACCTTTTGAGCTTTCTATCCATAATTCTCATTGCAAATTAATGCAGATTCACAATGCTCTAAGGCTCCAAGGCTTGTGATGTTGCTGGAAAGGAGACTCCCCTCCAAACTTAAAATAAAAATCAATGGTTGTCCTCTTCTACGAATTCCTGCAAAAAAGAATGTAGGGAGAGATTGGTCCAAAGATAGCTCACATCCCGACCCCAATAACGATTGATGATGGGGGTTCACATTTATTCTATAAATTGAGAAAGGTAAATGTCCTCCGTCATATTTATTCGGTTGACTTTCTCCTACAATATCAAAATTGAGTCTGAATACTGTAAAACCATGAAAATTCATTTGACTCTTGCAAACTCCTATAGGTTGCCGTGTAACTAAATGATATCAAAAAAATGTGGAAAATGTCCTTATTCTTGGTGGTGGATATATAGCTGTGGGCTTGCACTTTTTAGGCATATATTATGTAGTAAAGGCATGTCTAGAGAATTATCTAAGCCTTTCAACTACTAAATATGAGACATAAGAGAGTAATGCATATATAAGGCTGTTACCAATGAGATTTGTTATTTTCTACTAGTAAGTGTGCACATGATTTACACGTGGCAATTTTTGATGATGATAGTAAATAATATATTTTCAAAATTTTTCTATAATTTCTTTCATAAAAATTATTCTTATTTGTCACATTTTTTAATATGATGAGCATATGATATTATAGAGGTGTTTTTGTCATTTTTAACTTTTATTATTGTTTAATATGACATGAAGGATTTTTATATTTGACCCCAAAAATTTGAATTATCTAGTCACTGGCAAAAGAAAAACAACTCCATTTCTGTGTTGGTTTTAAATTCGTATTTTATTTTTATCATCAATAAAAACAATTATTCTTTGTCACACTATTTTTCTTTAATATGATTAATTAATATAGGATTCAATGAAAGAATTACAACTAATACCCTAAATATAAGGCCCTATTCACTTTTTGGTAAATTAATTATCCGGGTAAGTGTTTTCAAAGAAAGACTTACCCAAGTAAGTGCATTTTCCCATGTAAATAAGGCAATGACTTTTTTTTAGCCATAAAAATCCATTATTAAAAGGGGCATTTTTGTCCCATTCAAGTGTTAGAAAAGCTATTTACCCATATAGGAGATGGATATCATATACTCGGGTAAATGATACCCAAGAAAATAAATTTTCCCTGATCACCACATAAATCTGAAAAAGAACATGGATTTCTTGGTTAATGGGAATTTGGTTCCCATTGACCAACTTTCCCCCTCTCAAATCCAAAAAAAGAACACCCCTTAAGATTTAACGAGTGGTAATTAAATGAGAATAAATATTGTAGTTCATATTACATTTTGTGTCCTTACAATTAGAGAACAACCAAATAAAAAATTGAGATATTTTAATCAAATAAATATTCCACACTCTCATTCACACTTTTAATAGTAATATAGATTTTGAAATTTCTCTTTTTAATTCTTTTCAATTTCTCATATTTCTGAAAAAAAAAAAGATGGATGTTTGGACATAGGCAAATCACAATCTCAAAACTATCGTGCAGAAAATACTTGGCAGATATCCTAGTAGCAAAGCACATATACAGAGTGCAAATTTACTAGTTTCTCTCCAATAAATCTCTAACAATGGTCTTAAGCATCGGCATCACACTAATCCTGAAATAAATTGAATTCAATGGTTGAATGTCTATTATTTACTTTATATACTGACTGATGAAAAGGCAAGATTTATCACTATTGTTCTTCTGCTTAAATTACGCTGTATAAGATAGTTCTACAACAAAATTGAGTGGTTAATTTCATCTCGTTGCTGTATATTACTACAGTATAGGTGAGAGAAGACATTTTAATGGATCTGATTTCTGTTTAAGTTTTGATGTTTGGAAATTGGTTATTATTCATTGCAGACAAAGCAGGACCGTTGAACAGCGTTTTGTACCTTTTGTCCCATACCAATAGTCCAGAGACTCGACTCAATTGAACTGGTAAGTTTCATATACATCTTGCTGCCAAATCATCAGGGTTGCGTCAAATTGATAGAGAATATATTTATTGTTCTCTACTACTTTCTATTCCAGGGAACACCTGGGACCAATGAAGCTGTAAATTTCATTTTGGTGAAATAATGGTTTGGAATGAGGATTGATGAAAAAGAAGCAGAAAACAAAGACCAAATTTAATATTCTGGAAACTTGAATTGAAGGTTTTAATTTGTACCTTGGGAAACCCTAAGAAAATTGTCCCATGCATAACTTATAGAGGTTTTTCTGGATTAATTTTTATGTTTCTGCTTTTTCTTGGGTTTGATATTTTCTCTTTGGGATGAAGGAGAGCATTAAAGAAAATCTGCCATTTGTCGGTAATCAAATTACATTTGAAACTTCACATGTTTTGTCATATACCTGGTTGTTGTGTACATGTGTCAAAGAGAAATTAAATATCAAATAAATACTTATTTTACTCCAAAGAAATAATAATAAAATGCCCAACCCCTTTCTTAAATCAGAAATTCGGTATATAATAAATTGTGCTATCACTTACGTTAGATATGTTAATGGCTGAGTGCTTAAAGGAATATTTTATATGACAATAATAATTGTGTCTAGATCTGCTGAAACTTTTTTCCTGCACTTCTATTCAATCTCGAACAGGTGTCTCGTTACAGGTATAGTCTTTTATATCATATCATGTTTTTCAAAACCGGACCGGACCAGACGATCGGACTGGTTCCATTTTTTCCGAAATTTTTTTAAAGAACGTTGTTTTGAACCGAAAACTACTGATTCAGTTAGTTGAATCGTTTGAATTGTTCGAAAATTTTGATCATTTTTATTTTTTGTTAGAATGAGCCATTCATTTAGTTCAAACGGTTGGACCATTCAACCCGAAAATGTAGGAAAAAGTGCAGCAGAACCGGATCCGTAACAAATTACCGCATATATTGTGAATATGAGTTTTCAGGGGCATCAGTACATTTCTGTGAATCCATTGCAGCAATAGTTCTAGTAATTATCACAATCGAAATCATTTATTTCGAATTACTCTCTCTCAGTGCTGTGAGATTTGGATCAGAACAGACGCTTCAACCGGTGAACTGGTGGTGATCCAATGAGATTTATGGATGACAGTTTTTTTTTTTTTTTTCTTTTTGTTAAGGTTTTCTGTCACGATCCCGGTTAGGGATGTAACGTGAATTTCGTCTACTTCGAGGGGGATGAGAGACCTCCGATAAAAACCAAATGGTTCAGAATAAAATTCTTCAATTAATGCTCAAAACGATATTTACAAAAAGATAATATAGACTCTCTAGTTAACTAACTCCCCCCAACACAACACAAATAAGGCATTGAACACAAGCAGTATTACGTTTCACAAACAATTATAGAAAATCAAATTACTAATACGTTTCACAAACAATGATTCCCAAATGCCAATTAAAATTGGTGCCAAGTGATCATGAACACTGCATATGCATATCAGTCGGTCACTCCCTACATTCTCCACATGAAGTGATGAAACACTATTGAATGTAGTACTGGAGTCTACAGTAGGGTGCCCATCTCCACAACTGAGTCATTATTTGAGGCAGAATGGATTTATGGCTAGCATTTACTTTTTGCACTTTCCATAGTCACATAGGCGATGTTTAGTATCTTGATGTTGTGTCCGTTGCGTTTATAAATTGAAAATTGGAAAAATTAAAAACCGGTTGACCAGCTGGTTGAGCCAAAAAATCGGTGAATCAGTCCCAACTTCATAAAACTGCCCGAATCGCTAAATAATTGAAAATTCAAAACACTTGTGGAAAAACTTGAACCCATAATCTCTTATATAAATTTATTGCTTAATTATCATTAATCCATTTTTATTTGTGTAAATTACTTAAATGATTTTTTATTTTATTTTATTATACACATATTTTAAAGAAAATATGAATCAAGAAACTTGAACCGTGGTCATTTGCCTTAAAAGTTACAGGGCTTGTCATCCATGCACTATATTTAAGTATAATAAATTTGTAAAATATATTATAATATATGACCCATAACATATATATACATATATGTCACATCTAGGGGGGTGTCAATTGGACTAGATTTGGTCCAATCCGAACCATTCCAACGTAAGTCCATTATAAATAGACCGGGTCCGATCCAATCCAATCCAATGAATATTTTGGACCATTTTGGGTTGGTCCAATTCAATGTCTAGACCATCCTATCTATTCAAATTTGTTTTAATTTAGATTGCTTCCAACCCAAATCTAGTGCATCTATATTCTTATCTTATATTAATGGACCAGATATTGACTTAATCCAATCCAATCTAATATAAATTCCTTATGGGTGGACCAGATCCAATCAAATCCAATAAATACTTTGGATCATTAAGTCTAGATTGGTCCAAATCAATATATCTTGTGTTACTTGAAAGGTACTATAGATCATGGGTTATTCTTTGCTTCTACCCCAGGCCCACTCTCCTTACAAGCATTCTTTGATGCTCATTTTACAGTTATGCACATTTTGCGTTACTTGAAAGGTACTATAGATCATGGGTTATTCTTTGCTTCTACCCCAGGCCCACTCTCCTTACAAGCATTCTTTGATGCTCACTAAGCCAGGTGATTAGATGACAAAAGAAGCAATTGTGGCATGCGCAAATACAAAGTCAGAATTTCGAGCTTGTGTCAACGTAACCATCGAAATCCTATAACTAAGAATTCTTTTGGCTTCTAATCCTATCTTTCATGCCAAAACACAACATATAGAAGTAGGTATCTACTTCTTACAGGATTTAGTACTTAGCAAGAGAACTCATGTGCAGTAGTAGCAGATGTTTTTACTAAACCGTTAAATGGTTCACGCTTTTAGTGGTCAAAGCTCAAGCGTCATGTTCCGGCGAACTGTTCGCTTGAAAGGGGCGTGTTAGAAGACATGTGCATGAGGACCCCATGACGTGTTGGAGTTTATCAGTTTATTTGTGTTGGAATTTATCAGTTTATCTCATATTAGTTTCCTTGTTGTATCTGAAGTCCATCTTATCTCTGTTTGATGTAATCCAAAAACTAGAGCCAAGTGATTGTATCATTTGGTTCCTCTTATTCTTTCAGACTCTAATTTCTTATATTTCTCTTCTTTGTTTTTTTTTTTTTTTCATTTTCTTGTTTGTCCCCTAGCAACAGAAATTTTCTGTCCTATCCAATGAGGACCACACATGTCACTCGCTTCCAAAAGAATTTGAAACTAATGGAATCCAACCCTATAGTCTAGACAACAAGCTTTAATCAAATATAATTTAATTTCCCCTCCCTCTCCACCACCCCTCATTCCCTCTCTATTCTCTTCCCTACCGCATTCTTCTGGATTAGTGGGCAGCATAATAATAAAAAAAAAAAAAACAAATCATCTAACAAGATCATGAGTTGCAGGTTCTTCCTAGACAAAATCACTAGCATGGAAATAAATCTAGATGTTGTTTTCGGTATTGTGAAAGCACTAGTGGAGCAAAGTTGTCTGCGGTTGCAATAGCGGCTGGGGAGAGAAGAGTGTTAGAGAGTGTATGCCCTTAGTTTTAATTAGAATGATATACATTAACATTTCTTTATAAATGAATAAAGTACATTGTTGTTTCATGATAATATTAGTATGTTTCTGTGTATTATCCCTTAAAATGGATATTTAAGAAACTCGTTTTATTTTAGAATATTCACAGCCATTAGATAGACTTGGAGAGTTTATTCTGATACAGCTAACACTAGTGTGTTGCCAAGCAGTTGGAACAGCTTGTCTCAACTACTAAGATTAGACCCCAAGCATAGGTAGTGAGTGTTTGGAAGAAACATTGAACTCGGACTAATTTCTAGTTATGCCCTAGAACTTGGAGATAGATGGGCAAAACTATAAAATTACACATAACCCAACCATTGAGATCCATCAAGGGTCAAATACCTACGTATGTTGGGGCAGTTAAAGAATTCATCTAAGTGGGTGATCATAGTGATAGGATCAGCCCCTTTGTCGGACGAAGTGAACATTGGGGTTTACAATCTGTTTAATGGAAACCTAAACTGTCGGTAGTGGATTTCACCTGTGTTTGAAAATTGGTTTTGCAAAATGTATTTATACATTATATATACTGTTATTTTATAAAAAATGTGTGCAAAATGTTTTAATCCCGGGATCCATCCAAACAGAGAGTGTGGCACTGCACCTTGCAACTAGGGGAGAGATCATTCCCTATCAGGAAGTGTTTTGATCATTATAGGCCGAGAGGTTAAATGTAAGAGACCATTACATGCTTGATTACCTAATAAACTTTATCTCACATAAGTCCATTATCCTTGGATCCAATGATCATTTAGGTATAAATGGTGAGTTCAAATTAAACCAATGTTGATTGGGTTAGGAGTTCAATGCCCTATGCAATGAATTTGGCCTAGCCTCTTTTAGGGGTGGGACCGAAACCATGTAGACTTATGTGAGACCATTGTGGGGTCCCACGCCATACAATATTAGGCCTAAATTGGCCATGCAACACTTAGGGTCATGAACCTGTGAAGAAAATGGGCCAAATTCCCAAATTAATAGGAATAATTAAGTTGTTGTCATGTGCTTTGGGTCGAATCTGGGTTTGGTATTAGGTATGGAGCACCTATCCTCTTAAGAGGATAAGGCTTATTTCTTAATAGAGTCTAGATCCAAGTCATATTTGAATAATCTTTTAATTAGATTAGGAGAATGCTCCATAAGGAGATAAAAGGGAAAAGGGTGAACTGGGTTGTGTCACTTCACTTTCTACTTTTCTCTAATTCTCTCTAATCTTCCAAGAAACCCTATTTCGACCTAAGCTTTCAAGAACTGATTTTTGATAAGTTTTTCTTCTAGTTTTTGCAAGAAAAATGTTGAAGAACATCATACTCGCACTCCCATTCATCCAAGCAAGTTGGATAGCAGTTTTGTTGAAAATAATGTTGCTGAATCGGCTTCACCCACACACTACGCCATCTTTAGTGGATGCTAGTTTTAAGATTGATTTAGGTATGAATTTCCACCTTGGGATCTATGCTTGTGGTATCCATATCAGGTACAATATCCCTTTTGTTTTGGTTTCAAATCTGTTCTGGTTTCAATGCAAGATCGATTCGAAAAAAAATGTTGTTTCTCAAAACACCGGAAAATCAATTCCCAGAAGGGATAAAAAATTTTTGAAATTTCGCCCAACAATCTAGTATGGTTCGGCCATCCATACAATGAATTCTATCCCTTCCAACAAGGATATCAGCCTCTCCGTCGCTCTTCACGCCCCGACCGAGAATTTGATTATTATAGATCTTGAGAAATAAAAATAATAAATGGATCTTTTCTTGTCATTGTTAAAATTCA